ACACAAGCAGGATGTATATACACACATGCACGCACACATACAGAGTTCAGTTTATTACTGTTGTTACTGTTAAGTGCCCTTGAGTTGGCCTCATAGGGAACGACCCTGCATTGGGTGTCCCAGGAGCATCTGGTGGACTTGAAGTGTCAGCCTTGTGGTTCGAAGTCTAGTGCTGATCCTACAGAGCCACAAGAGTCCTTGTTGTTATGAAGTGCCATCAAGTCGGTTCAGACTCATAGTGACCCAGTTTAGGGTTTCCAAGTAGCGGTCCAGGGCTAATCCGATAGCATCACACCACGTGTTATTGTTAGGTGCAGTTTAGAACAGGTTTTATGAGCTGGCTGCTGTCATGGTTGCAAAATAGTATTTATGGTGGATGGACTTCCTTTTCTTATTAGTGAAACTAACCATTTTTCTCAAAAATCCTTGACAATAATTTTCTCTTATACATACTACCTAGTAAACACGTCTTCTTTCTGCTTACGTTTTATGCATCTGTGTTTGATCTTTACATATCTTATTAGTAACTTTTAGTCTGTCATAGATTCTTTTGTCTGTCACAATTCCCCCATTGTAATGGTTTTCTTAGTTTTTATTATTTTCTTTTCTAATATACTGGAATGTTCCTGTGGCTACACATTTCTATCTTTTACTTTCTATTATTTTTACCACCCCAGGAATAATACGTATCTATTCCCCAGTTGGGAGAAATGTATGTTCTTCTAAGCAGTGCTTCCCAAACAGGAAAGGCTCTTCTTATTTCTCAGGATGCTAACAGAGTTTTCTGAAAGGGTTCCATAGTCAAACACATTTGGAAAACAAGGAATTAGACAAAACAAAACAACTTCCTCTATTACAGTACTTATCAGACCTTTAATATGATTTTTTTCATTGAACAGAATAAGTTTTCAGCACCTTCTATGAGACACTGTTGTTGGCTAGGTGCCTTCAAGTTGACTCTGACTCAAGGATTCCATGTGACGGAGTAGAATTTCTCTGTAGTATCCTGTACATTGTAAGCCTTATGGGAACAGAGTTCCAGGTTTTTTTCTCCTGCAGAGTCCCTGGTGGTGGTGGGTGTGGAGTGGGGTGCTAGGGTTCAAACTACTAACTTTCAATTAGCAGCTGAGTGCTTAACCATTGTGCTACCAGAGAACCTTGGAGATATTTTGTCATTGTTGTTAAGTACTGTCGAGTTGGTTCCAACACATAATGACCCTGTTTAGGGTTTCCAAGGAGTAGCTCATGAGCTTGAACTGCTGACCTTGAGGTTCAAAGTGACCTTGCAGTCCAGCGCATTACCCCACAGTGCCACACCAGGAGTCTGGTAGACACCCTTGGGGCTGGGAATACAATAGTGAACAAAAGAACCACAAGCATTTTGTGTATTTCCAGGAGAGCTGCATAGTATTTGTGTACAATTTTTTATGATATTGTTGTTGTTAAGTGCCGTCCAGTCAGTTCCGACCCATAGTGACCCTGTATAGGGTTTCTGAGAAGCAGCTGGTGGGTTTGAACTGCCAGCCTTGCAGTTCAAAGTGACCTTGCAGTCCAGCACATTATCCAGAAGGGTCCACCAAATATCCAAATCTAGAATTTGTTGCAGCATGAAGTAAAGATATGAATTAACTTCCTTTTTAACAATTAATCCACCCTTAGGGAACCTTTCCACCATTTGTCTGTCAGTTTGTCGTACTGTGGTAGCTTGTGAGTTGTTGTGATTCTGGAAGCTATGCCACTCATGGTGGACAGGTTTCAGATGAGTTTCCTAGACAAAGACAGACTAGGAAGAAGGAGTGACGAACTACTTCTGAATATTTAGTCACTGAAAACCTTATGAACAGAAGAGAAACAACTCAAAATGAAAAGAAACAGCTGTAAACATCCATTAATAATGCCAACATGGAATATACGAATTATGAATCTAGGAAAATTGGAAGTTGTAAAAAATGAAATGGAAAATATGAACATCTATATCTGAGGCATTACTGAGCTGAAATGGACTGGTACTGACAACCACATGGTTTACTATGCCGGAATGACAAATTGAAGAGGAATGGTGTTGCATTCATTGTCAAAAAAAACATACCTAGATCACTCATGAAGTA